TTTTTTATCCTAAAGAGTACTGATTGATTTATTGATGCTTCTTAACCTTCGAAAGTGAAAATGAAAAATCACAAGTTCCCCAACCGAGTATAAACAGCCACAGCAGAGAAAAAATCGAATTGCTAGTCATTTTTTAGCAAAGAGGAACAAAATCAATTATCATACACGAGAATCCAAATCCCATGCTTGTCAGTGGACGCATAGACACACAGAATGCTACATGACATAACAGGACCAGCAGAACAAGCAAAATTAAAAAAAAAAAAATTGTCACAATGTCGATTCGACGCAAGCAAAACAGATACACAATAATCACAGTTAAAAAAAAAATAAATAAATAGAAGCCCATGAGATGCCCCAAAAGAATATTAGCAGAGTTGTATTAGATCAGGCTACAATAAGCAAATAAGCACAAGCAGCCAAGAATTACAAGCAGCCAAGAATTTAAACATGTTGTCAAATTCAGAATCCACACATCAACCAAAAAATAATGAAACTGTTAAACACCACAAATTTTAATGTAAAGATGGGACAAGAAACAACTAAACCTCTACATCACCGAAGGTAACATATGACACATATCCACAACAATTGTGGTATTTACAGAAGCTAAGAACTAAACGAGAAACGATTTAAATAAATCCCAATCTTCAGTTTCCAACAAAACCCTAGTGATCAATTGGTAAACTAAATCAGGAGAACAACCAACAACACCTGCAATCAACAGAAATAAGCTGCAAAGTGAAAACAAAAATAGAAAATAATAAATCATACCAAGATAAGATCAAAGAGCGTAGCCTGGTCCACTTTGACAAAATCCGCGTCGAAATTCTTGAGATCATCGTCGGGAGAAGGCTTGTCGTCCGCCTTGGTGCCAGAAGCTGCGGCGGCATCTACGTGGCGCTTGCAGTACTCGATCACCTTCGAGAGGATCTTACCGGTGACGTTGGGGAGAGGGATGACGTTGTCGGCGCACTCGTCCTCAATCATGTGCTTGATTGTCTGAGACTCGACAGCCACCGCCTCTTCCACCTCGAAAACCTCCCCATCGGAGCTCCTCAGAGTTATCTTCTTGGTTCCGTTCTCCGCCGCGGACGACGACATCGTCTAGAATTCGAAGATTGGCTAGGTTTGTGTTAAGATAGCGAGAGAGATTGGACCCTTTCAGGTTTCTATATAGATGTTTTACGATAATGGGCCGAGCCCGTCAGATCAACTGTCCACGACTTATATGATGATTTAATGGTTACAAATCTGATATAATGGTTCCGTAAGAGGACTGTAACATTTTTCTTTGGTTTAT